CGCGCAGGCGTCCAACAGGAGCCTGTTCTCGAGCGCCAACCCGCGGGCGCGTGGAAGCGGGAGCCGAGCCTCGAGCTGGGCCTCGAGCTCGTTCCCGTCGTGGATTGGGAGCCTCAGGCAAGATGAGCAGGAGGAAAAAGGGAGGGGAGAGGGGAGAGGGATGATGTTGATAAGGATGAGAAGGACGGGGACGAGGACGAGGATGGTGGTGGTGATGGCGAAGGTAAGAGGAAGAGGAGGATCATAAACATGATGCATTCACACCCATATGCATGAAGGGATCGGCTCGGTTCGGTTCGGTCCGGTTCTGCAGCCGGTTCGGTTTTGCTTGGATGGTTCGGTTTGACACCGGTTCGGTTTCGGCGTTCGGTTTGGGTCTGGCTCTGGTTCCGTTCGGTTTCTGTTTTCGTGCGGTTCGTTCCCACTGGTTCGATTCGGTTCGTTTGACGGTCTGGTTCGATTTGGTCCGAGCGGTCCCGTTCGGTGCGACTAGCTACCGTCTGTGTAAGCGATGGCCCAGTCTGAACAAAAAGCAGGAGGAGGAGGAGGAGGAGGAGGAGGAGGAGGAGGAGGAGGAGGAGGAGGAGGAGGAGGAGGAGGAGGAGGAGGAAGAAAAACAGAAAGAGGACGAGGAGGGGGAGAAGCAAGGAGGAAGGAACGAGGAGCAGGGCCGCGGCCCCGCGAGGTTCGGCCCCCGCGGGTTCGGGGGCCTTTTGTTGACGTTTTGGGCTTTGCTGTCCACGGCTGGATCCGCCTCCAAACTGTTGTCCACGCCTCCCTCTCCTGAGGGGGCCGCCGCCGCCGCCGACGACGACGTCGACGACGAGGGGGGGTCCCCAAAGAGGCCCCCAAAGGAGCCCCCGACGGGCCCGCCGAAGGGGGGTCGCCACCGGGAGGGGGTCGCCATGGGGGAGGTCGCCACGGGAGGGGGTCGCGACCAGGGGGGGGCGCCACGGGGGGGGCTCGCGACGGGTGGGGTCGCGACGGGGGGGTCGCGACGGCGGGGGGTCGCGACGGGGGGAAGTCCCGACGGGGGGGGATCGCGATAGGGGGTCGCGACGGGGGGAGGTCGCGACGGGGGTCGCGGGGGGTCGCGACGGGGGGGGGGGGTCGCGAGGAGGAGGTCGTGCTGGGGGGGGGTCGCAAACGGGGGGTCGAGGGGGGGGTTCGCGACGGGCGGGTCGCGACGGGGGACGTCCCGACGGGGGGGGGTTCTCGACGGGCGGGTCGCGACGGGAGGAGTCGCGACGGGGGAGGTTGCGACGGGGGAGGTCGCGACAGGGGAGGTCGCGACGGGGGGGGTCGCGACGGGGGAAGTCGCGACGGGTGGGTGTCGCAACGGGAGCGTCGCGACGGAGGTGGTCGTTTCCGCGGGAATCCAGGTACCCTGGCGGCGGCCCCCTGCCCTCGCGCGGGGGGGGGCGCCAAAGTGGCCCGCCCTCCCGCGGTCCGCCGCGGACGACCCGCCCCGACCTGCCCACCCCGACCCGCCCCGACCCGCCCCGACCCGCCCCGATCTGCCCCGACCTGCCCCGACCGGCCCCGACCTGCCGCGTCGTCCTCATATTCGTCATGGCCATCATCGTCACCGCTTGCACATATTGGCTCAAGCTTTGACACTGGCTGCCTCAAGCCTCGTCGTCTTCCGGGGTGGTTGGGGTGCGGGAGGTCGTCGTCCTGCGGGCGTATACGCCGCCGAGGACCGCGGCAGCAAAGGACGATCGTCTCCAGATGGGTCCGACGTCTTATAGAAGCACCGAGAGGGGCCAGCTCAGGAGTCGGGCTTTCTCATCGTCGGCATCTGCGACTTCGACTTCGCGGGCCGCCGTTGATTCGGTGTTCTGTGTTCTTTTTGCATTTGGCCCGCCAGCCCCGTTCTGTACCTTCCTCGACGCGGGGGTCTCCACATTCACCTCGACGGGGCATCGTGCCCCCCCGGCCTTGTCCCGAGCTGCTCGTGCCTTGTGGGCTTCCTGAGGATTGGATCGAAAGTGGAGCTGCGCGTCGGTCGCCGCGAAGACGTGCGCGGTGGCTTCGGGAAAGACGCCGGCGGCGCTGGGCTAACGCGTCCGTCGCCGACCTCTCCCGCCTCTTGCTCGGGCGCCCTGCAGGGCGGGGCGCCGTCGCCCGGCCTCGCCGCGCCCTTGGCCGAGAGGCGGTGGCAGCTGGTGCGCCAGCTTGACGACGCGTTCTGGCTGTCGCCGCTTCGAGGAGCCAGTGCCACTCCTGGCGGCGTCGCTGGCATCCACTCGGGGCTGGACAGAACCCCCAACGGTGACACGTCGATTAGTGAATTGTCCGTTTTGGGTTCTCGAGAGGGCGCCGTGGCCGTCATTTTCCAGGCTTGCGCCCGCCAGGTTTGGGCCTCAGGTCGTTTTCACCAAACCACGTTTTGCTACAGGAGGGTCTGTCAATCCCCGATCCACGGGGCTGCGACAGGGCCCGTGGGCGATTCGTGCCCGGGAGGCAGTGCGCGCGTTGGCGGAAAGGCGTCGCCCCTGCCGCAGACAACCTCGGCATCCCGTCCCGAGGGGCGGCGATCGTGCTCCAGGGGCCGGTCGCGCCGCCCGAGCGCGGCTCCACCCTCTGCGCGGCGCACGCCTTCGAGCATGGCCTGGGCCGCCCTGCCAGCCGGGTGCCCCCCGTGTGCGTGCGCGTGGGCCACTGGGCCGCGGTGGCGGCGCGCGTCGGGGGTGCGCGGCTACTGCGGCTCGCCCGGCCAGAGAGCCCCCCTGTCTGCGCCGGACACTGCGACGCGGAGAGGAGGGGCGACGGCGGGCCGAGGGTGATCGTCGACGGGCGGCGGCGCAGCGCCCTTCTGAAGTCCCTGAGAGGTCCTCCGCGAGCATGCGTTCGCCGCAGGGATCCCCAGCGGCCGACGCCCCTACCTCGAGCGCCTCGCCACCCTCCCCCACGCTTCGCAGTTCGCGGAGCTGTTCCTCCCGATGGGATCGCCGCGGACGATGCCGAGGATTTCTCCTACCTCCTGCATTGGCCGGACGCCCGGGTCCAGGATGCCATTCCTGGCTTCGACCCCAGGTGGGCTACCTCCGCCAGCGTGGCCGGAAGGCCTCGGGGGCGGCCCAGGTCGTGCATCGGCATCGCCTGCGGTCCGCAGCATGTTTCCGTGACGGGGGGTGGCTCACTTGTGGTCGGGCCCATCCCTCGGATCGAGCCGTTGAAGGTGTCTACTCTGGCGACCGCGCGATCATCGGGATCCGCGATGGCCCCGAGGCTGCTGGTCCGATCCGACAGGCAGCTCCCTGGCGCGTCCGTCCTCGGCACCAGGCCCGCGCGACCCCGGATCAGCCGCGGGCAGTTGCCGGGGGGGGCGAGATCTCTTCAGAACGATTCGACGTGGGCGGAGAGGTCGTGAAGATCAATCAGCTTTGCGTGATCACCGCGTGCGCCGTCCTCTTCGGTGCCGCGCCTGTCTCTCTCATGCGAAGGCTTGGGTTCACCGCCTGATGTTTCGCCGGGCCGCCGCGTGCCTCGTGGGCGAGCTCTACGCGTGGCTCTGCGCGCCTGGGATAGACCCCGCAGCGCGGCGGCGGCTGCCGAACGCGGTGCTCGACAAGGTGATTGGATTGGTCCTCCTGTTCCCGCTTTTCAGAAGCTCACTTGATTTGTTCTCGCCTCGGACGCCGCGCCCTTCGTCGGCGGAGTCGCAGCGGCGCCTCTCGACGTGGAGGGGGCGGTCTGGCTTTGGGCGCGAGCTCCTCGGCGGACAGGCGCGGTGGGGCTCGGGCCATTTGGGCCCCCAGACCCAGACGAGCCTCTCGAGGTCCTGGGTGGCGGGGTCCGCGGCGATCCCCTGCTGAATTTCTGGGTAGGGTCCAAGCAGTTTACCGCTCTGCTCAGCTATCGGTTCTTAGGGGGGGCGCCATATTAGCGCCCGGGAGGCCGTTGCCCTCGGATCGCTGGTTGAGCGGGCGGTCAAGGGTCCAAACGTGCATGGCATGCGCCTCCACGTTCTCATAGACTCACAGGTCGTGCGTGGCGTGGCTGTCCGGGGGCGATCGTCCAGCAGGATGCTTAACAGGATCTTTGCCATGACTTTCCCGTTTTTCTGGCTGTTCGCAGGGGGTCCCTTCCTCTGCTTCTGGGTGCGAAGTGCCCGCGATCCTGCGCGCGATCCGACGAGGCGTGCTGAGACGCGGAAGGCCAGACCGCGTCCTCCCGAGGTGGCGGAGTCCATGGCCGCCGCCGGGGAGTTCTGGGGCGGGGCTGTGCGCGTGCGTCGCTGTCTGCGGGCGCCGACCGCCGATCTTCTACGACGCCTCCAGCGGGCCGAAGGCCGGCCTGAGTGCGGGCCTGGGGGGGGGGTCGCGGGTGGATAGCCATCAGCCGCGACGTGCAGCGCGGGCCTCTCGAGGACCTCGCCGACCCCAGTGTGCCCGCCCAGGAGATCGAGCTCGTCGCGACGACCAGGCCGCTGGCGGCCGCTCTGGGGCTGCCCTGCTGGCCCGTGTCGGTATTCATGAGCCCGTGCTCGCGGTCCTCCCGGGCGCTCGAGCGTCCGTGGGGGCTGCGGCAACGTCGCGTGGATATTCTTGGCAACAAGTGCGCGGGGGCCGGGCTGGATCTCGCGGGGGCCTTCGACTGCGTAGGCGCCCTGTGGGCGCGTGGGCAGCCTCAGCAATCTCGTCAGTGGGCGCCCCCGAGGGCCCGCTCAACGAGCGCGTCGTCGATTGGGGCGCGCGGGGCAGGCGCTGGAGGAAGATCGCGACCTGGAAGGGGCAGTGGACGTTCCTGCCCTTGCTGGGGAGGCGGTGCGATCGCAGCCGCCAGCACCTCGTCCGGGAGGGCAGCGCCAAGGGCGGCGATGGCGTCTGGCGGCGCCTGGCAGAGGTGCAGCAGAGCACCCCAGCGAGTGGTGCGAGGCGGCTGCCGAGCACCTCGACACGTGCTGCCGCTCGGCGCGCTGCTGATGTTCCTGGGGGTCCTCTGCAGCTGGCTGGGTTGTCCAGGAGAGGGCCCGCCCGCGCGCCGGGGTGCAGCCTCGCGACGGGCGGCCTCGCGGGCCTGGCGGGGCCTCCGAGTGAGTGTCAATCCGTCTGCTGCCCGTCGGTACGTCATCGCGCTCGACGAGTCGAGCCTGTGGCTCCAAGGTCGAGGCCTACCGCGCCCCGACGACGTCGTGCGTGACATCGAGCTGCTCAGCGCCAACCTCGTTGCCTAAGTTCAGTGCCTCTAAGATGCGAAGGCGCCAAATTCTTTGGGGTCCGAGACCCTCGTTGGCGCCCAGTTCCGCTGGCCCAAGACCCGCGGCCGACTGCGCTCGGCTTCGGCTGTGGTGGCTCGCTGGCGCAACTTCGAACAGTCGAGGTGCGCGCGCCCATGCCTGTCGATGTGCTCCTGGCCCTGGCCGTGGCCGCCCAGGCGCAGGGGTGGGGCGGGGCGGCAGCGTGCCTGCTCCTCGCCATCCACTCGCTGTAGCGGCCCAGCGAGGTCGCCACTGCACCCGGGCAGCATCTCGCCTTGCCTGGGGGCCTGGGAGGCGATGTCAAAGCAGGCGTGCTCGTGCTGCTCTCCGCTACAACATCAGACCGATGGTCAACGATCCAGTGCGTCTTGATCGAAGATCCTGCGCTGCTGAACGTGACGGGGTGCGTCCTCGGCCCCCATCGCCCCGGCGTCAGCGTTGCGCCCTGGACAGCTGCGCGGGCTGATCCACGGGTTCATCTACCTCAAGGGCTGCGCCGGCATTGGCGACTCGCCGCGCGCCCCGAGGTCGGTGCGGGGAGGCGGTGCCATCCATCACTTTCGCTCGTTTAAAGGCCTGGGGCTGCTGCAATGTCGTGGGCGCTGTGAAAATGCAAAGTCAATGCGTCGCTGGCACCGGATGGGCACGACCGCCCAGAGATGGGCGCGGCCGCCCGGTCCTCCACAAACTTGCCGTCCGACAGTCGACGACGTCCAGCAGCTCGCTCAACTCGCTTCAGATTTATGGGCTGGTGGGTGACTGTGTCACCAATGCTCCTGGGGGGGCGAGACGCGTGCTGACGCGTGGCAATGACAGGAAGGTTGGAACAGGTCGAGAGCTCTCTGTTTTTGGGGCTCTGTGAGGCCGCGCGTCAGAGACACGCCGCTGCGCCCGGACGCCCTTGGCCGCCCTTTGGTCAGCTTTTCCTTTCAAGTTTCACACGTGGGTTTATTTGGAAAGCGAACTTCGGATATCATGTGAGCATAGCGTTGTGGAGGACGATCAATGGAGAGGAAGCGTGTTGCCAAATCTTCTCTAGATGTCTAAAAAGGTGTTTTGTTGTTTCATGTAGATAACATGTTTGAAAACATGTTTTAGAACCTGTTTACACATCTTAAACACATGTTTTATTCAATGATCGGATTGTTAGAGTGTCCGTTGTCATAGCATCCACAAGTATCGCGTTTATGATCGTAGAAGGAAATGCTTTGCAGCTCTCTCGCCCCTCCCCCCCCATCATGGCGAACAGCTTTTGAACAGGTTGAGGTCTCTCTGTCTGTGGGGCTCTGTGAGGCCGCGCGGCAGAAACACTCCGCTGCGCCCCGACGTCCCTGGCCGCCCTCTGGCCAGCTTTTCCTCGCAAGCTCCACGCATGGTGTGCTTTGGAAAACGAGCGTCGGAGATCATGCTTATGCTGGTGATCGTGCTGATGACGATGACGGCGACGACGATGATAAGGTTGATGCTGATGGTGATGACCATGACGGTGCTGGCAACGACGACGACGACGATGCTGATCATTATGATGACGGTGCTTATTGCGACGACGGTTACGATGACGACGATCTTGATGCTGATGATGACGTCGAGGGTGACGGCGATGATTGTGATGGCGATGGTGATGGTGATGATGATGAGGATGATGACGACGGTGATGATGCTGATAATTGTGATGGTGGTTATACTGATGCTGATGCTGACGGGGGTGATGATGCTGATGATGATCATGATGGTGGGGGGAGTGGGGAGGAGGAGGAAAAGGAGGAGGAAAGGGAGGAGGAAGAGGAGGAGTAGGAGGAGGAGGAAAAGGACGAGGAGGAAGAGCAAGGGGATGAGGTTGACGAGCAGCAGGGGGTCGAAGTGGAGGAGCAGGGGAGGGTGGTTATCAGGAGGGGAAGGGTCAGGAAGGAGGGGCAGGAGGATCAGTAGGAGCAGGAAGAGGAGCAGCAACAACACCAGGAGCAGGAGCAGGCGACTCGGAGGAGCAGGAGGACCAGGGGAAGGCGGAGGAGAGACAAAGAGAGGAGTGGTAACAACGTGGAAGAAATCGGATACACAATATGGCCCGTGCTGGGACGAACGTGTCGTTCGGAACGACGTGAGCAAATCACCAATCTTGAGCTGTGGCCAGCGCTGCAACGGGCGCCCCGGAAGTGTTCCGATATTTAACATCAACGGCGTAAACCATTTTTGGAAACAAGGCGGTGTGTGTTTTTTTTGTTGTGTGTGTGTGTGTGCGTGCGTGCGCGCGCGCGCGCGCGCGTGTGTGTGTGTGCGTGTGTGTGTGTGTGTGT